CCCCCGCCCTCTCCTACTTCCACTCCCGGTGTGTCATACATTTACTGAAGTGCCAAGGCCGAGTAACAATTTTCTCTGACAAACTCGTTCAAACATATTTGCAGTTCACAAGTCCGGCCCTTTTATGTTATTTATTTTTGCTTTAGCTGTACCCACCTATTTGTTTGTTTGGGCTGGGGCGTTGAATGGGAGCTACACAGATTTTTGATGGGTTTATAGCACCCCCTAGGCTTGGTGTAGCAACATGCGAGCACACGACACATTTCTGTATTAATCACGGTAACAGATGCAAACATTAGTTAAAAAAAAAAGCTGTGTGTGTCACGTGGACAAATAAATGCAAACATGAAAGGGTTTGAAAAGGTCTTTTTACTTTTGAGCACTGTGACACTCGGCACATCATGGACCATTACAGCCAGATATGATGCAACGGGCTGCATGTCGTCTTGACGCTTGCAGGCCATCTTGGTTTACAGAATGCCCATAGTTATGTCAGGTGCCTTAACTGTTATCTAATAAGCAACTGATGATCTAGTGTTTCCCCATATATTCAAAAATTTAACAAAATGACATGTTACATTACAAACTACCATCACATGATCCGTCAAAATATTTTCGCTGCAGTGTTGTGATTGAGTAAGATTGTATTATTGTCTTGACGCTTGCAGGCCATCTTGGTTTACAGAATGCCCATAGTTATGTCAGGTGCCTTAACTGTTATCTAATAAGCAACTGATGATGTCGTGTTTCCCCATATATTCAAAAATTTAACAAAATGACATGTTACATTACAAACTACCATCACATGATCCGTCAAAATATTTTCGCTGCAGTGTTGTGATTGAGTAAGATTGTATTATTTGGGACCTGGTTTGTTCCATTTTCCTTTTGTCTTCCCGACACTACATTGGGTCGTACTTCAGACTTGACTGCGACAGGGATTTCGCTCAAAAAAAAAAACAAAGACAATCACGCTTTCCCGCGCGCAGTGACTAACCGGCCGTTGTCACACGCAGGTGGTCCGAGTGTGGTTCTGTAACCGGAGACAGAAGGGCAAGCGCCTGGCTCTGCCTCTAGACGAAGAAGTCGACGGGCAGTTCTATGAGCCGAGCCCCTCGCCCCTCAACATGGCCACCTCCCCCATCCCCAGCCAAGGCTACCCTCCACCGTCCAGCTACCCGGGAGCCCCGCCGCCTACGCTTTACATGCAGTCGCTTCATCGGCCCGACGTCCTGAAGCAAGCGCTGCACCCTGGACTGCTCGGTCACCTGACTGGATAAAGGCTGCGGCGTCACGGGTGAACCATTCTGTCCAAATCTGATCTACCTCTTGAGGATTGTGAGACAGTTCACGGTTTTCTCCGTCGCTGCAGCTGTGTGTGTATGACTGATCACTCCATGCCAACAACTTGAAGTGTTTTGGGAATGCATGTTAAGTTATTCAGTAGGCCGGATTACCAAAGTGCATTTGACGCAAGGCAGCTTTTAGATTTTTTTTTTGGGGGGGGGGGTATGAATTAAAAAATAATTTTTGAGTTCAAAATTCATTTGACAGTAAATGAGGGGAGCTGTGTTTCAAGTTGTTCTACTCTTTGGATGGTGTTGATGCGAGAAGACGAGTGGGGGGCGTGGTAAGCATATCAGTGCATCGCAAAGAAAGCAATACAGTAATTCTGTCAAGTCCTTTTTCTAACAAAGCTTTTAAAAAAAGATGAATTTGATCCTCTGTAAAAAAAATTTTTCAAGATTGAATGCAATATTTTGATAACAAAGTGGTATTTGCTGCTATTTTGCTGCTTTGATTGCACATTTACAACATCTCATCTAGGGTGAAAGTCTGTCCTGTCATTGACTATTTTCTAACAGATGTTGACATGTTCTTCCTATGCTTGTTCCACCGGATGCCTGAAAATTGAATACATGCTTTTCAGAGTAATTTAACTTGTACACCTGATTTTGAGCGTATGCCTTTTTTTTTAAGAGATCAGTCAGTCGACCACTAATTTTAGCCAACCTTGCTCAGAAGCATTCTATCATGTTAAATGTATTCAAATTCTGTTTTCTCCCGCCTGTATTTTTATTTTTGAATTGTTTCACCGCCCTTTGCCTCAGTAAATAATTGTGTGACGTTGGTTCTGTTTGGATCTGCCACCTGTTTATGGGTGTGATTCCACTTTCGATCGCTAGATGGTGGCACATTTGACAAAGTTTGAAGCAAGAATGATAACGAGGTTGTATTTCAGGTCAGCCTAGTTTAAGATTATTTTATGGCGAATCTGCGTCAATCCTGCTTTTTCCGCTTACAAAAAGGCCGTAGGTTCATTTTCAAGCCAAAGCTGGAACGTCGGCCAATGATGACCATGGATTTTTGGAAAAAAATGCTTAGCCTACAGGTGCAGAACACTTTAATGAATTTGCACACATGGTTATGTAGTGTGTTCGGCGGGTTGTGTGTAAACCTCACAGGCAAACGGCGGCTCAGTTTGTGTGAATTCTGCGCAAAAAGAGGCTTACGCCACGCCAGTAGCATGATCCCATGCAGCCAGGTCGTCGTAAACCTTGTTTGGAGGCAAACTGTCGAAGTGGGAGCAGATCTTACACAGTCTCTCGTTCCAGCCACTGTTCAACTTTGTTTTCCAATTCCGCTTCCACTGAAAATACTCGCTGTAGCGCTTCTGGTCTCCCGCAACCTGCTGCAGATACGCAGCCAACTCTTTCACCGACGCAAATTCATCGACGTGGATGAAGGAGTGAGGCGGAGCCACGGCCTCGTAATCCTCCATGGAAGCTCCCAGGACGATGGGAACTGCCCCCGATTGGTAAGCGTTTTTCCACAGCTTCTCGGTGATGTAATCTTTTGCCTCAGAGTTCTCAAAGGCCAAATAGAAGTAGCAGTGAGAGATGGTGGGTAGGAGTTCTGCTGAGGTCAGAGGAATGTTTGTCCAGCGCCCGTAGACCTTAACAGGAACTATCGCGCTGAGTGCTTTGTGTACTTTGCTTCTTCTGTAGGAACTCGCGTAGTTGCTGACGACCCAACATGCCAGAATGGTTTTGTTCTGTGTGTTGGTCTGCACAGGATTTTCTCCTTCAGACTTTACGGCAAGCCGCTCTCCGTAGGGGATTGAAATATCTGCATCCCTCCTGTAGTTCATCGTCAAGTTGAAGATCCCTGCAAATTTCCTCAGGTCTCCATTGTGAACAGGGGACTCCAGGGACATCCAAGCCCACCTCTGCCCCGGCGGCCTGGGAAGATGCATCGGGAGTTTCTCCCGTCCAGTGATCAGCTCACGGTTGTGGAACACCACCACATCTGCCGTGGGAAACAAAGACCTTTGCCTCACGATCTTGCAGGACGGGCTGCAGTTGTGGTCCCTGTCCGTACTGAACAGATGAGCGGGTGGGCCGAAGGGTTCGTGCCACATAAGAATCGTCACTTGCGTGTGTTCGTTGGAGTCATAGCTGAATGCCTTGAGCCACACATTAAGAAGCGCCAGCGGTAAAACACAGAGGAAGGTGAGGATTTGGCACTTTCTCAGCGGGGTAAGTGTATTCGTTTTGGTTTGGTTACACTCCTGAAAGGGAAAAAAAAAAGCACTTTTTTTAGCAACAAGCCTTGAAACAATGTCTCATCTCTACCATGGTAATGTTAGTGGACAGGATTATGCAAATGAAAAAAACATTTGAATTGAAACTTTGCATAGCGGTGAAAACATGGATGATACAGCAAGTGATTTTCTCTTCACTGGGTCAGTCAAAATGAAACTACTTTGACAATTTTCTTGACATTGCCACCTTGAAGTGGCAAACACGAAAGGCTAAAATTCCCAAATGTAGGTCCTTTTTGTTTCATATTCAGTATTTAAAGTACTGGAGGCATATTGAATTTTTAAAAAGAAGGGGTTGAAGAATTATGCCCTGCGGGACGCCACATATTCTTGTAATCTTCAGATCCATAGGACTCTGACTTTTACCCCCCCACTTGACTCCTCTCACCTTCCTTACACGAGGAATTGACGCTTCCTCAGGTAGACGAGGAAGTGACGCTTCCTCATTTAGCGTTCCATGGTGAACAGGCGTGTTCAATAAAGATTTTTTTTTTTAAAAAGAGCACGGTTTCGGTTTTCGAACAAATCGGTTTTCGAATAGCCTTCTGGAACGGATTATGGTCGAAAACCGAGGTATGGCTGTATAATATTTGAATGGTGTCAATCAATGCATTGCGTGGGGAAAAAATGAGGTTGTCCTTCTGTGGGTGCCCTGCCATTGAATGGCAACCGGTTCATGGTGTCCTCTGCCCACACACGGTACACTCGTGAGCATAAGCGCATGAGAAAATGGATGACATACGGTATATATTCTATAATAAATACATAAATAAATATGTACCGTTTCACTGAAATGTCCCGATAGCATTTAAATGCACCTCACGTCCCTTGCGCATCACAAAACAACGTTCACCCTCCAGCTAACACCAGGGACTTGTGCAGTCTCATACAATGCCGACGTACTTGCCATTTCTTAGCGTCCTAATTTAGCTACTATGCAATGACACGAACAACGGTGATAAACTAAGCCTAAATGTAGAAATTAAAGATTCAAGAGTCAAGCTATCCGTCCCTCCACCACGCAGGCCAACTTTAAACTTCTATTGCATTGAAGTCAATGTGTCATGTATTTTCGCCTTTGTGTTTTCATGAGAATGTTTGCAACTTGCTTCACATGTCAAAATGATGACGTACCGGTGGCAGGAAAAAATATATATATATTTTTTTATGTTCGCTGGATGTTTAAAATTGAGAAGTGCTGGTAGCCCATACCGGCCCGCTGTTGTCGATCAAAGGTCGCATTTATGAGTTTATATCAGCCCTCTGCTGTCGATGAAAGGTCGCTTTTATAAGTCCATAAAAATAAGAACAATGAACAACACTTTATGGAGTCTTCTCATATTTCGGAGGCCTTGATATGCTGTACTCCATTTTTGTAGAATTACCGGTAATTTCTCTTTCTCATAAGATATCCTTTATTTGTCCCACAATGGGGAAATTTACAGTCCACAGCAGCAAGATAATGGGTCGAAAGAAGTAAACAAACACCGTTCAGTTAAGTGCAATATAAATACAGATATGGATAAGGTCGCAGTGCTATTTACAATTGTCTTCCACATCATTTTATTTTTTATTCAGACAAGCAACATTGTCTGGCTAAACAGCGGTTGAAAACAAAACGATAGTATGTCCAGGCCATGGAAGGTTTATAAGATAAGATTAGATAAGAAAACCTTTATTCGTCTCTCAATGGAGAAATTCCCAATTTACAGCAGCAAAACTTATGAAAGGGAGAAGGAGAAACCCAAAAAGTACATTATGTACTTTTGGTTTTCTGTACAACAACAAGTGTATTATCATAATTGGTTGAGTAATAATTCAAAATTTTGTAGACTCACCAACAGGGTAACCTCCTCAGATGCCATCCTATTAAATCAGATGAGCATGACTTCTAACATTTGAGTTTGACTGCTGACAGCTGCTGAAGAAAACAACACATGAATTGAGAGTGGGTTAATATTTCACAGTTCGCCACTGACAAATTGCATTCGTTAACGAAAATGGTCACGCCCCCAGCCTTTGACAAATAAAATGTTTGCGATGGGTGGGGCAAAATCTTGTTTGCTTTGTGACGTTTTCAAGACTGGAGGCAATTCCCCTGCAACCACACACACCCACCTTCCCGCCACCACCACTGAATGGTAGCATTTCAGTGGTTGAGTGACCAACCAACGCGAAACACACAAGTAGTCGAAGGTGACGCTGTCCCTGACTAGCAGTGAATTAGTCAGTCAGTCTCAGAGGAAGCCAGTGCCTTGTCAAATCAAAGGTGGGAGGAGCGACCGTGTAAAAAGACGAGGGAGGACCTTGGAGGTTGCAAATCAAGAAATAACATTTGAATATCGTCTTTCCAGAGTGTACTGGTTCCTCCCTGGGGCCTCCTCCAGCAGGAAGTTCCTGGAAGCATCGAAACCAAATGCCAGAGCCAGATCATCCATCATCAATTTGGAGGAGGCTCTGCTTGGTGTGCAAGCCACCGGTAAATAAACATTAATTTGGACATATTCTAGCAGTGCCCGAGTAAAAAAAAGAAAAATCGCGAAGATTATATGAAAAGAAAGTCAGATTGTGCAACAGTCTCATATTTTCGTCTCACAAAACAGGAACTGGAGGTGACAGTTCTCTTAAAATTGCCAAGAATGCAAGCCTCCCCCCACCCCCCCAAAAACACGTGACACTTTTTTTTTTTTTTTTTTTTTGCATTTTCACTAAATTTGGAGAGGATGTCGGTCGTTCAGTTGCTTCTAATCTCATTATGCCAAAGAGACGTTGGTCTTTTGTGGAGATATTATATCATACAGGCCAGAAATAAACATTGAGCATTTGTCTCGTTATGCCAGAGAATAATTTCTAAATTAGATTCTTTTAAATCTATTAAACTCTGTACAGTGTCTGAATGTTTCATTTTCTTCATGAAACATGTTTTTCAACAATTCTTCAAACAATCCAAAATAATTATAGAAAGAGTGTAGTCATACAGTCACAATTTTACAAGCAAAAATATAAAGAAACGATCTAAGACAAGTCAATTTATGCTAGGCATATTGGTTACAAGGAAGTCACAATTCATTATGTAATAGATTATTCATAATATTAGATTAAAAAGGCCAATTTCATGCAAGGAGCCACATTACAAGAAAATAAACTGCAGTCATATTTCTGAGAATAAAGTTATTATGAGGAAAAAGTCATACTATGAATTTAAACATTTTTAAGAGACCTACAAGTCGTACTAGCAAAAAAGTAGTTGTTTTGTGGCACAATTCACCTAAATGCAGAAATGAAAGTTAGGTTCAGCTATGGAAAAGAAAAAGAAAACGAAAAAGGAAGACAAGGGTAGCAAGAAGAAAAAAAAACTTACGGCAGCAGCACAAGGACAGTAATACGACAACGCAGAGAGACGAACTTAATTACAACTTCCACATGCTGGGGTAAGTAGATTGGTCAACAGCTGGAACTAATAATGACACATGGCGTGAGGGCATGAAGGGATATCGTCCATACCCATTTTTAACATTAACTGATTTTGAAAATGTGAGCTATAACACATATGACGTGGGGGGGGGGGGGTCTATTAGTGTTTTTCCTGCTCTTGCAGCGCCGTATTGCCCCAAATGTGTGAGACGTTAGCTACAGAATGATAAAACAAAGTATAGAGGGAGAAATTAAGATTAGTTTCCCTGGGAAGCTGAACAAGGTAATTTTTTTTAACTGGTGTTTGACCTGATTTGTCGACATGATTCCTGCAAATATTGGGAGTAAAGAGTTGCCAGAAAATCAAGACACAACAGAAAAATCCATAAGCGTCCCACTACCGTCAGTGAGGTGTCGTTTGTAGTACCAAGACCAACCTGTGGGTGTCAATATGGAGCCATTGCGAATCCAGATAATACGTAGAGAAAAAAAATGAATAGTAGTAGAAGAAGAAACTGATAATTGTTAGCGGATCTGCCAACTAAATTCTGGTGGAAAATGGCCCAAATTTGGTTTTAATCTAACTGATTTAGCTCTCCAAATCTCACCGTCATGAACAACATTCAAATACAGTTGCGCCTATGGCCTACCGGTAAGTATGTAACCCTTGTGCTGCAATTTCTACGATGTTTGTAACACATGGGTTACCCCATATGTTACAATTTCTACAATTTTTGTAGATTTTTGCGTATTCTTCATCACGTCATCTTTAAATCAAAGACACAGCATAAAAAGTGTGTGATATGAAATATTCCAATTCATGTTTTATTTATATAGATTTATATTTATGTTTTGGTCATAGCACAATACCGCTTTTATTGTCCATAGAGGGCAAAAATACAAAGAAAAAAATAAGAACTATATGTGTATGTATAGCACTGATGCCACTGAACATGTCGAGTGGTTGAAAGTGAAATAAATATTCAGGAATAATACTTTTACAATTTTTGTAAAATTGTATGTTGCGCTATATAAACTTATTTAGATCGACTGCAGCACATGGGATGAGATGGATGTTTTATTCTTGTAAAGTACATTTAATGTTATTGTAAACCAGTGTAACATTTTACAGTGTGAACATTAACCCCCGTGGCATTGCACTTAAACAAAATGTAAAATTCGATAATGATTCAATAATTTGCACTGCACATAACATTAACATAAAAACTGCACATTAATAGGTATTTGAAAACAAACGATTCAGAAAGAAAATGCAAAAACGAGTACATTAAATTTTAATTGTAAGCCACTGAAGTAAGATACACAACAATGTAGTAAGATAATGATTGCATTCCATTGAACTGCACATTAAAGTTCCGTAGAAATGTCACCATTATAAATACCTAAAAACAAACACTTTTAAAACATTAAAGACAAACATATTTCACTAAAAAGTTAAATACAACTGAACTGTACCTCAGGGGTGATTTTCTCGTACCACAAGAGGGAGCCAGCGTATGACTAGTGGTACCCATGTTGTGCTTTGAGAATCACTGATCCAACTAATCTAAATCAAAGCAGAACAAATTCAATAACCCTTAGCCGAGCTGTATCAATGATAAAGTCACAAAGTAGACTTCATTCGATGAGAAGAAAGTCATAGAGACACACAAGACAGCTGCAAAATTATGAAAATAGTCAAAATGATGCGCATTGTATCGTCTCAAGAAACAGGCGTGGTTGGGTGAGAATCCTGCCATCCATTTTGAACAGCGCTTCTCCTCAACAGGGTTGCGAGGGGTTGCTGGAGCCTATCTCAGCAGACATCGGGCGGAAGGTGGACTACAGTCTGAATTGGTTGCCAGTCAGTCATAGGGCACATAGAGAGATAAAGGACCACTGTGACCAGGGATGAGATTTTTCCGCTTTTTGGCGGAATTACGCTTTTTTTCCAGTCAAAATGGACCTTTTTTATATTGTGCCAAATCCATTGAGAAAACTTTAGAGGGGGGTAGGGTCTGGTGTTACAGTATTTATGGGCTGCCGGACTTACTTGTCTTCGGCAGACTCGGGACTCGTTCACAAATAAAGTTTGCAAGCATCCATTTTGAATACAGTTTTTTTTCTCGCGAAGCGTTAAGTTTGTCGTTACTTCGTATATGGGCTAAAACCAATGTCTTACTTGTTGTGTTTCGCTATATCGGCAAATCCGTGTTCGCCTTCCTAAACCCACTTTCCATGAATTCTGAATGGTTTTGCACAAGGGATGCAGTGTATTGAAATTACTCGTGTATGTAGTCTGTATTAAACAAATGCCGAATGTTATCGAGACTCGTGACGAAGCTCACGTGCGTCAGATAGATGCGGATCGGAAAAACAAGTTTCGATGGGACTGGTTGGATAGAAAGCTGACTGTGTCCCCAGTAGGAACCAGTGAAGAGGAACTATTGTCTGCGCTTGTGTCGGATTTCGTGAAAAAGCTCGATGTCGCTGGTAAAGCTCTGTGTACAGTGTGTGACGATGTCATTCTATACGGAAAATGCATTCGTAACCCATATATAGTAAACAGTTTGGGACTTCACTATCCCTGTATGAGGTAAGAATCAACTTTTTATCACATTTGCACAACATTTTATGAATACAAGTAATGAACAAATCTTAAATATGACAGGGAATGTGTTTCCTTTTTTTTTAGTTTTGATTTTGAGCAGCAAATTTGAAGTTACATGTTGGTGCTCACCAGGAATGCATAAGCAAAATTGCACAAATTTTCACTTGAAAGAGTAGTGAACAATCTTGGGATTTTTTTTCTGTGAAAGTTTCAAGTGGTGTGTACATTGAATACGCTTCATCCTTAGCATGTTTAGTATAAAGTGCCAATTTTGTAAGCAAATAGGGAATGGTATTTCAACAAAAAATGTCAAATTTTGTTGATAAAATTAATGATTTTAAGGCTTTAAAATCTCTAAAACCCCCCAGACCCCCCGGCAGAATTTCAGATTTTTTCATCACTAGCCACTCTCAGCCCTTTGTGACTGCGTGAGAACCAGTCCCAAGTTTCCCCCAAACAAGTTAGGCGAGTGTACCCCTCCAGCACCATGAAAAACTTGTTAAAATATTTTCAGAATGAGGTCCTTCAAATTGTGCAAGTTTGTGCACTGACTTTTTGAACACCTCTGTGAAATCAAAAGTCACCATTATTTCATTTTTTTAAAGGCTGACTGACTTTTGTTCTAATGGATCTTTTTCCATTGTGCAAGCCGTCATATTACAGTGCTGGATATCTTCAAGCACCCATTAAGAAAAGATAGCGTCTTAGAGCTGACTTAGAATAAAATAAATTCTGATCAGGAAAAAATTTGTCACAACCCGAGAGGCTATACGGTTGAATTTGTCTGTAGGCATTCTGAACAGGATGTGGTGAGAGATTTATGGTGGCAGTGGCACCCATGTATCACTTGCCGTTGCAGTTAGGAAGTCCCCAAGGTCACACAGCCTTGCTTCGTTCCTCAGTCATTCTATTAATCAGCCACAAAGATGAATGCATGCACAGCTCCCTCCACTCCACTGACCTTCCGACGAGCTCAGAGTTGGGCACCGTCCCTCTGCTATTCCTGAGAGCCTCTTTGCACGCGTCGAAAAAAAGTGCAGCCGCTTTTAAAGAAAGGGTGTGGCCCCTCTCGCACATCGAGTGCAGTGCATCACCTCAAGCGCACCACCTGGCATCCTTCAGCCTCAGGAGCCACCAGACGGCGCCTTTCGCGTGCTGAAACTGGAAGGCTTTACTGGTGGCCAACGGAGGAAGCGCGGAGGAATTCAAAATGGCAAATGGCACTTTTGGACGAAAGGCGGTGCCATGCTGAACTGAACGTCAGCCAGTTGTAATGCATGCATTAACCACTATTGACACATGCTTGTGAATATTCTCATTTATCGAGGTCATTTCATTCTTAAGGCGGTGGATCGATCACAACTGGACTTAGGGCATGAATAATTTAGTTTTTTCCACATCCACTCAGGCGGGTGCTGTCCTAACTAAGCCTTGTTGCATGTAGCCCTCTCAGATGTGAGGCGAAGAAACCAGAACTGTCCAGTTGCGATCGATTCAGTACCCTGAAAACGGCATCGACACACACATTCCCACATATGAACAATTTCTTGGGAAATAGCACAGGGGGGTGGCGGCATGCTGACGTTGAGGATTTCCCAAACTTGTGGGCCAATGCCAGAGTGCATGTGTGTAATGACCTGTTGCTGTTGGACAGTGTACACAATCGTTGGTATCGCTGACACCAATCGGCTGCAAATGGAAGTGCAGAACAGTCGAGAGACATTTTATTTTTACTTTTTGCCTTTTTGTCACTGCCAGCACCGATCAATTGTCTGGTAAAGTGGAAAACCCTTACAATTGCACTTGTCTTTGCGTTTTGGGTGATTATTGCCATTGCAAAAGTCAAAGCGAGGCAGCTTTATTCATGCAATGATATTGCTGATTTGAAGTCATCTTCTGCGGCTCTCTAACTTCCTGTTCCTCCTGACTCGCTCTTTTTGCGCAATTCTAGCTCGAGGTGAGGCAGAAACTTGAGCAGGGGCAGGCCAGACCAACTTTTTGGTCCTTTCACAGATACATGCAGTTTGGCGCAGTTGAAAAGGGGCCTTTTTGCGCCATTGTGAGCGTGATCACATTGGTGATCAAATTCAGTTTTGCAATCGAAGCAGCCGCTCTCATTCCCTTTGGAATCGATGCGCCATCCTTGGCATGGTGGAAGCAAAAACCCATATGCTGGGGGCCATGCTGGAGACCGAAGCAAGTCTCAGTACGTTCGCAAACTAAATGGCGACCTCTGCAGGCGGATGTTGGAAAGTTGGCGAGGGCGAAAGAGCGTGAAAGTTCCATCTGAATGTAATGGAGTCACGCTTCTTTGCTGAGTCACTCTACTTGCTATGCCGGAACGAAGGCCGGCTGCGGGCAAATGTGTGAAATGTGTCAAAATGAGTCACACGTTTTCCGGTGAAATTGTGTCCTTGCGCATTTTTTTGGTTGAACGTCTGAATACAACATTTGAGGTTCATCCCGTCGACAACACGTTGACGGCGTTTACACTTTTCATGACTATGGCCACCGCTGGCATTTATTACCCGCCTCTCGTCCTAAGTCAGCGCTCCTGCTCACCTACGACCCTGATGTGCAAAACGGGGGAGGGCCCCAGCGTGACAGATATTGGCAACACAAAACACATCCTGGATTGGAGCACTTTGAATTTTGTTGCTAGGCGGTGTGAATAACAACAATAATAATAATAGAAAAGACAAAAGAGAGCAAAGAGTGAGACGTCGGATGAGATTTATTTTCCTGAATATGCTGCAAAACCGAGAGGAGAGAACCAGATTTACAGGTCGCACAGGTATGGCTGGGAGGAGCCGTGGATTGTCAGGTGTGGTTTGCCACCAACCAAATACCAGCAGTGCACCGACGACAAACAGCCAACAGCGGAAAGAGGTGGAAAGTTGCCTTGAAACGCCACAAGTGGAGTGGAATAAAACATCAACCCGTGGCCGGTGCGACATCCCCTGTGAGTACAACAGTTCACAAAATCTTTGAGGATTTTTTTTTTTTTTTTTTTTTGCTGGAGCAACTTTAAAAAAAAGAAAAGAGGGTGTGCCTGCAGGAACGGAAGAATTGTGCATGCAGAGGGGACAGATGGCCCAAAGAAGGGAGGAAAGTAAAGGTGACGATCCGAAGATTGAACTCTTTGTCAAGGTGAGGCACGCCGTTGTTGTCAACATCAACACTGATGCAAAAAAAAAAAAAATGCTCTGAATGCATCCCCCACAAAAAATGTTTTTTTTTTCCTCCAATCAGCATTCTTGTGTCAAGTAATACATTCATTAAACACAAAATAGTCGCTGTATTTTGATGGCAACCGCAAAACTTCATATATCAACTTCATAATGTTTTTTGGAGGATCGAAATGACAACCTTAAAGACCACAAAATAATTTTAGTTCGCATCTCTGATGAATGAAAATAACAGTAGTCGTGTATTGTCTATATTTTGATCTTTCGCAGTTGTTCTACAACGCACAAATGCATCATCCCGAATTGCATTACTTCCCAACTGCAATATTTCTCTCTGACCGACAAGCAGAAACCGAAAAACCCGTGAAATAACGTCTAAATCAGACGGCGTGCATCCACCGCGCCGAGAGCGAACCTCAAGGCTTTGACGGCGAATGTTTAGTTTGTTGTCTTCATCAAACGTGGGTGTGTTGTCCCTCCACTTCAAATTCCGCACATTTTGGACTCCCTCTAGGATGTCTGAGCCGAGCGGAGCAGGCTCGGCAAGATGTAATCACATTTTGGTCAGATGCGCACGCCAGAAGCGACTTTTGAGGCTGGCGTGCCATTTCAAAACTATTTGTCGATACCTCCGCCAAGGGAATTAAGCTACGTTACAATTGGTTTGGTCTGCAGGCCCTCTTCCATGTGGGGGAAAAAAAACAAACAAACTCGATGCAATGAGACTTTTGGACTCCAATGGGACTGGTGGTATCTTTTCCATGATTAAAATTTTTTTCAAGCTGGAAATGCCAAAGGTAAAGTTTTAAATATGCGTACCTATTTAAAAAAAAAAAAAAACGGGGTGGGGTGGCCACTATTTCGCATCTTTTAGATGTTTCCCTCCTCCAGCACACCCGATTCAACTGATCAAGATGGTTATCTCGCTTCTCGCGGCTCGCTGATGAGCTGATCTCTTGAATCAGATGGGTGTGAGGAGGAAGGCATCCAAAACATGCGAGATAGACTGATCGAGGCCCTCGACAACCGGAGTTGCTCAACCCTGATCGAGATGTTTCATGGTGCGTTCATTTCCTTTTTGCATAGGCGACGCTCTTCAATCTTTCGCATCTTTTAGATGTTTCCCTCCTCCAGCACACCTGATTCAACTGATCAAGATGGTTATCTCGCTTCTCGCGGCTCGCTGATGAGCTGATCGCTTGAATCAGATGTGTGTGAGGAGGAAGGCATCCAAAACATGCGAGATAGACAGATCGAGGCCCTCGACAACCGGAGTTGCTCAACCCTGATCGAGATGTTTCATGGTGCGTTCATTTCCTTTTTGCATAGGCGACGCTCTTCAATCTGTTAACGTGGGACACTGTATAATGACATTTCCGACTGGGCTAATGAATAGCGCATAATAACGGCGCCTCCCTTGACTGCAGCTGACATTTGTGCAGCTCCGGCATTTCTGTCACGATAGTACTACTTTTTATTTACAAGCAATAAACTAACAGGGGAAAATGCTTAAGTAAAAATGTAACTAGGCCAACAACGTCAAAGCCGCCGGGCCTCTCCCAGCTGACTTTGAGTCTTCAATGCACCCGCATGTTTTTGAAATGTAGGAGGAAGCTGAGAAAACCCGCATAAGCTCAGAACTGAAACCCCACATAGGAAGAACGCCCTCCCCACCTCCCCGGACTGAGGCAGACGGGCTCACTGCGAGTCCACTGTGTGCAATTTATGCCTTGTCAACGCCATGTTTGGGGAATAGGCGCCGCAGCGATTAGGGGGTGGGCGCAATTGATTAAGTGATGTTTCAGCCGTTGGTTGATTGTGTGCCCCTGATGATTGAGAGCCGCTTGAAACAACTGGGGCGAATGCGTGATGCGCTACAGGCGCTTTGGATTCCTGTGCAGAAATGGGGTTGATGGTTTAATGTGACCTTTTAACTAGTACAGTTCAATTGAGAAAAAAACCTTTACAACAGCTAAAATTAAACAGCGGATAATGTGGTTGCGCAAGTATGGTCACCCGCGAATAAATGTGACTGCATTGGGAATTAACTCGTCTTCAAATCCTTAAATCGGACTCAGCGCACCCCGACCGCCATTTTACACATCTTTGATTCACCCCCGAATATACTTGAGACATTTAAATTGGATTTTATTTTCATTTTACGCCAAACATACTTTTGGCCGTCATTCCCAAAAGCAACGCTGCTCATCGCCAAAGGCAGTCGGTGTTAGCACCAAGGCCTTCATGCCTCCGCTTTGAAAACGTAGCAATGTCAGGAAAAGCTTACTAGAATAACTGCAATTGATCTGGGGATCATCAGCGGCACTTTAAAATGGTGGCAGGAATGTGCTGACTCCCATGGAACAGATGTTTGAATGTGATCGCTTATTCTGAGCACAGTCACATCCCCAGCCGTAAGAGGGTGTGCACATTTCTGCAACCACTCGAGTTTTGAAATGATTGACATCCCAGTCCCATACCAGCCAGCCTGACCACATGGAAGCAGGAGTTCCAAACATTTGGAGAGCGCTTCTCCGCTCAGTGCGATATTACAAAAAAAAAAAAAAAAAAAGCTTAATTCGTGTGTAAATCCAGTATTGTGCATTTTCTTCTCCCAGGCCAGCAGTGATGCCGAAAGTGTGGGCAACTGTCCTTTCTCTCAGAGACTCTTCATGATTCTCTGGTTAAAAGGGGCCAAATTTCTGCTCACCACAGTAGACATGAAAAGGTAAGCGACATTTGAAACTATTCAGTTCCCTTGCATCATCTTTTACGTTTCCCCATACGGTTGTAAACACTTCCACTGCAGGCTGGGGCCGTCGAATATTAGAATTGATTATTCGAACTGATCGTCCAATTAATTATTTCGGTAATCACAAAAATTCATTTCGCACAATTGCAATGTAAAATACACGCATGCAGTGCGGTTGTTTTTGTCAATTTGGGGTCACCGTCCTCACCTTCTACGCTGTCGTATTTGTGACTTTTAATGCCTTTAAAAAGCAGGGCCTGGCGAGTTGAGTGACAGGGGTCAATGACAAAAAAAAAAAAAAAACGGCTGTGACAGGGCTGTGTAAAATGCGCGTTTGACCCCAAGAAAAGTTTTCAAGTTTTATTTAACAATTGGGAGCATGCGAGCGTGAATAACTCAGAACATAAAGCTACGTGACAAAAAGTCAACACGGAAACAAATAAAGCGCCAACCGCGGAGGCGAGCAGAAAGATGAGAAAGCCCAAAGAGACACAGAACAACTCAGAGAGACCAAATGAAAACCAAAATGACAGCTGTACTTACAAAGCGGCACGACTGGCGAGGACGACTGACCATGAATATATCTCAGCACACGTCTACTCCCTCTCCTGCATCTCCATATCTAAATACTCGGCCGATGATACTGGGCAGCAGATGCCACGCAGGAGGCTCCGCCCACCGCCACACACCTGGCCTTTGCAAAAAAATAAATAAATAAAAATACAGCAGAACCAAGCACTCTCTCCTCCTTTTGGCTACAAAACAAGTGGTACGTGTAAAAAAAAAAAAGATCACTGCAAAATCCTCATGAAAAATCTGCAATATGAAATTACCGTAGATGCGTTTGAAAAAAAAAAATCTGCAGGTTGAACTGACATTCAAACCGTCCTCTTCGTCACGCCGCTGACATTTTGACACCGCGAGATTGCGTTAGCGCCTAACGATTGGTCAACTCGACTTCACACAGGATGTTGTCGGAGGGAAGCGTCGATGGTCTTGCTCAAGAAATAGCTGAGTTCAGTCACCGGCGCGGTTGCGACACAGATACAAAGAGAACGGAAGAGTCGCCGAAACGATGAGGCACTCGTCGATTCACAGATCTAACAAACCGCTGTGACTTTTGCCATTCCGAAAACTGTTCAACTGTCATTCAAAAGTTCAGGGACGCTCCCAACGAGCCTCCCCTGTCAAGGAGATGCTGCATTTTTATTCAAATAGGAATTTCACCTTCAGTCTTAATTGTTGTACGTTGCGCAACGAAATGACGTTCTGTACTCTTCAGCCTGTCAATGTGCACCAACTAAGAGGCGATTATACAATCCCATATATAAGAGCAAGTTCTGAAAACAGCACAAGAGTGACGTGAAATACGTGACCGCGGTGTAAAAGTAGCGTCGGTATAAAAACTTTGGCGAATAGATGACAAAAAAAAAAACGAACAAAAAAAAAAAAAACAGGCAAGCAGACAAGTGCAGTCAGTTAAATTGCAGCAGCGCAGTGCAAGGATACGAACGGGGACAAATGAGAGCAAAGAAACCTCTCGGGAGCTGTCACACAAAGCCCCAAAACATTTACAGTATTACACTGGAATGATCAAAGATAATTGGTGCCAATTAGGGAGGAGAAATAATTAGCTTCCAAAGAATGATTGATTGTTTGCGTGCCTGGAAATTCCGCCTATTTATTTATTTATTTATTTTCCACCGAGGTCTCAAACGAGGGATGACGCCGCATGCAAAAAGTGTACTTTGGTTCGAGAATTTTCTCACGCGGCGTTAAGGCTGAGGCTTGCGAAAGTTTTGGGCTCGAGTTTGCGCAAAACAAGATGGCGGCAGGGTGACTTGCAACGCTCGCAAAGCTGGAATTTCGTTCAAGGGCGAGAATGCTTGTGTTAGGCAGAATTTGAAACATCGTTTAGTTGTATCGTATGATGAGACTGTACGGTGTACATAACGATTTTGACGTCAATCATACCGTACATTATTCAGATTATTTCATTGGCTCACTCAATAAGGAAGTAGTATGCCGAAGAATCATTGAATGAAATGTTCAAACTGTTCCAGCGTTGTCAACTTCTATTTTTCTAATCGCTGCATTTAACAATTTAGGAATGTCTTGTTTTCAAATATTCATTTTGTGACCATCGGACTTTTCTTTGCAATTTTAAATGAATCGTAATTGAAAATGTACCACTGCCTTGTTTTCGGGTGAACACCTGGGCCTACTACACTACTGTATTCCAATGATCGTGATGGTCGTTTGGAGAGTCAACCATTTTATTTTTTTGGGTGCTACCTGGTGTAAAACAGTGGACACATGAAGATGACATGAAATGTAAAAAAAATAAAAATCCACCAATTCACACAAATGGCCTCGGTAAAACCTAATTTATTATTAATGCAATGAATGCTGGGAGTAATTATTTTAGGATTCCAAAAAATGCAGGCTCAGACAAAGTGCGATGACAAAAATATTTATTCAAGAACATCGCACTGACAAAGTATAAACTGAAATCGCTTGAAACCAAAAGCGCTTGCAAAGTCAAGGTTCAATAAAACGCCGAGAAGAGACAAACGAAATGTCCAATAACCGTCCAAAAACAAAGAGCAATGCTAGAATAACCCCAAAATATTTACAAACAAGGATCTATGAACAAAAAAAAAACGAGCGCGACTATGAATGGTAGTGAGCGGTCCAAAAAAATCCAATTTGAAGCAGAACAGTAAGCTAGGTCAACAATCCGAAAGGAAACGCCCTTCACTCCAGCTGGAGCTGGAACACAATCAAGACAGAACATGACACCTGCTGTGTATTATTTCGAAAAATGGCTGCCATGATTGTTAAAACAGTCGCTTTGTTTTTGCCCTGGCGACCTGAGCCGATGTTTCGAACATTGGCCCTTGTAATGAACGAATCTCTTATCACCGTGCACTGTAAACAGTAAATTGACACCCACATTATTGACTTCGAAAATAAGTCATACACCGTTGCCGCGGTGATGGCATCGATGGTACAGTATTCTTCCTTTTGAAGCCGCAAAAGACTGCGCTTGTATTTCAAACCCAATTCAGTGTATATTGTTTTGCTTTTCTGTCCCTTGCTACCATCACTGCCAGGCGCTTTTTTTTTTAAATTGAATTATACGAAGAACTTAATCATATTTGTTGCGTGACAGATCCCCGGATGTGCTGAAGGAGTTGGCTCCGGGCTCTCAGCCTCCATTTCTGGTCTTCAATGGTGAAGTCAAAACAGACGTGAACAAAATCGAGGAGTTCCTGGAGGAGAGATTAGCACCGCCCAAGTGAGCCCGCCGCATCACGCGCAGCCTTGACTCTTCAAAACATTTTCCATCATTCATCCCGCGCTGGTTTTCTCATTTGACCTTCCGATGACAGGTACCCCAAATTGTGCTGTCGATACAAGGAGTCCCAGTCAGTTGGAGAAGACGTCTTCCGCAAATTCTCCGCATATATTAAGAATTCCATCCCTGGATTAAATGACAGTAAGATGAATGCAACAGCATCGTTGTATTTTTGGTCATGGTTGTTCCACTTTCTGAACACGTTACGTGAAAAAGTTGACTTGTATAGTTGCTAAAATGTGCAGAGCAGGACACACAGCGTGGCTCCGGCATTTTTCCCGAAGTGACCAAACCACAGTTTGATGCTGTGAGTGGGGGGAACATGCAGCAGGCACACACACACTCACACAATATCAATACAAAGTGAGTTGCAAAACTGAAGATAGAAAAAAAAAGAAAGCTCGGTCACCTGGGAGGCGCTCAGATTAGATCCGCTGCTCCTTCGCATCAAGAGGAACCACATGAGGTGGCTTGGGCATCATGTTAGGATGCTTCCTGGATGCCTTCCTGGCTGCGAACACGGAATTGTGGGATTTCCCGCTTGAGCTGCTGCATCCCTTGATGTGCATAAGAAAATGAATGGTTGGAAGCGTCGAGATGTTTCGAACCCTTTCATGCACCCTGTTAACTGATAACATTATAAGCTGTCCACTGTAGTAACCACTGTCCCTGAAAGCATTGGTCCCCAACCCCCGGGCCGCGGACTGGTGCCGGTCCGTGGGTCATTTGGTACCGGGCCGCAAAGAAAGAATAAATAATTTACATGACTTCCGTTTTATTTATTTCGGAATCTGAAAGATGTTTTATTTTGAAAATTTACCGGATTCTCTATTACATCCATCTACAGTGTGTCACTCTTGACGCAGGTCAAGGCGCGCTTCTCGGTCACGTGATAGGTTACCGCTGAAATGAAACCCGGGAGCTAGCAAAATGAGTTAAAAAAAATAAACGTCTTTGGGAAGGGGAAAAGGCCCAGCTGGGAGACAGAAGAGCAGCCCACGATTTTCAAGAAAAAGAAGGCTACATTTAATAGACAGTGTCAGGAGTCCTACTTAAAATAACTCAACGGGAGATTCCCATGGATCAAGCCCGCTCTACATATGCGGCGACGATGGTTAGTCGTATTTTTCATGCACTTTTGTATTTGCGCTTTATTTTATTTTGAAGGCACCTATAAATATTACCATAGCGACCAGAGAGCGTTGCAGCCAGATAGGACGTTCCTCGTGTCATGATTCGTGTTTATTATTAGGTTGAGAAAATATCACAGTTTTCATCAGCAGGTCATATCATATATTATTTTGTTGTATTTTTATCCGCCACACCTTAAAGGCTGGTCCCTGAAAATATTGTCTGACATTAAACCGGCCCGTGGAGCAAAAAAAGATTGGGGACCGCTGCCTGAAATGGTTAAGCGTGCCAAAAGGGCTAAATACGCACACACTTGTTCCTGTAGTATTACTAATACTAGCCTGTGGTGTTTTCAGTGTTAGAGAAGAAATTCCTGTCAACCTTGGTGAAGCTCAACATGTACTTTTTGACGCCCCTCCCTCACGAGTTGGACCAGAACCCGAACCTCACAGAATCTTCGCGCCCCTACCTGGATGGAGACTCTCTCACTTTGGCCGACTGCAACCTGCTTCCCAAACTCAACATTGTCAAGGTGAGACATTTCTGGACGCACCTCATTGGTCCGGTGTTTTTTTTGTTTTGTTTTTTTTTTTTGTCCCTTCAGGGCAGGGATGTCAAACGTGTTTGCAAACACGGTCCATACTGGCGTTTGGGACTGGGTACAACGGTGAAAGCACTGCTGCAGTTTTTCCGTGCAAGTCTTTCAGCAAGCAAATCTTCAAACCCTCTATCGTCCCCAGGTGGTGTGCAAGGTGTACCGCAACTTTGACATCTCTCCTGAACTGAAAGGCCTCACTCGGTACCTGGACAACGCCTACAAAAAGGATGAGTTTCGCTTGAGTTGCCCAAAGGACATCGAGGTCCTCCTCGCGTACAAATCTGTGGCGAAGTATCTCAATAAATAGAAGACCAGATAAAGAGGTTATACAGGGTGTCCCAAAAGTAAATCTACACATCCTTTATGAATTTGTGGTCGTCTGCACTTGACAGCTTAAGGGGTTTACAAGTTTTTGAAAGCAGCAAATCCTTACTTTGTCCTTTGGCTCACCAGTTGACAATGGCGCTTGCGCTGCAAGTCAAACTGAATCCAACGCGGCGGGTTTCTTGAAGCAGGATTTTGTGTTGAATGACTTTTCGGACACCCTTTGTAAGATATTGCTTACAACTGTCAGTTTAGCTTCAAAATCCACAGACCTACTTTTAAATGTCTTCATATGTACATGCTGCATTAACTATTAAAATCCTATGGTGTTACTTTTGTGGCGTTCTTATACTGCTCCTTTGAAAAAGCATAGACGCACTCCTTTAGCCACAGAATATTGATGTTTTGTGCCATTGTGCACTGATGTATTATTTGTAAATGTATCCACAGAATGTATTTGGCCTTTCCTCCATGTAAACTGCAATGAAGGAATCGCCTTTTAATATAAATGTCAAAAGCTTCATGTACTCACGTTTCATTGTAACATCACTTTTTGATCTCATAGCATCTTTTTTTTCAAAATGTGTACCTATTGGAGAGAAAGCATTAGCATTACCTCTTATATATAGCTATTATTACTTTAAGCGGTAATTACTTCATATCTGTATGCTGTTGTCTTCATTCCTCCCAACTTTCTGTCCCAAGAAATAAAATGTAAGAAAAAAAAAACTGTATAAACCAAAACTTTGCCTGACTCTTTTTTTCATGACTGACCTGGAAAAAAAAAACATTTTAACATCAAATCTGTTATTTACTACTGACTGTGCACAATGATGCATCCAATACTGACAAGATAGAGAAAATGTAGCATGTATGTGGCTTTGATCACGAGTGATGCATAAAAGAAAAACAACAAAAACATTGTGCATTCAAAGGATTAATTTCATTTTCTCCAAAAATGTTTTGCACTAAAATGCATTTATCAAGAAAAACAACAACAAAAAAAACAAACAACAAAGACCATACACGGTGAATGATTTGTGAAAGTACAATTATTTTTTTTAAATCAAGAGAAAGACAAAGGGCTCGATGTTATTTTATTATATTAAATTTACTGATGATTAAACAGGAAGACACGGAAGTACCAAGCGTTCTTTGATTGGATGACTCGATTCAGTGGTACCATGGCAACAGCAGCTATGCCTGCCCATTGGTGAAAGCAATAAAATGGGCGGAGCTAAAGCAAGTGACCAAGCATCGAAAAACTTTGTTGGCTACCAGCTACTAATGCTCCCTCGCCAGTTGTGACAATGCCGTAAATTTGGCACACTTTCGCTACGAGACACCGTAAAGTAAGTCCGGTCTTTTACTCACATACACCATTCCCGGATACTGTTTTGGCTTCGTTCCTTGACACCCATTTGTGCCTCTCCCGGGATGCGTTTGCGCCGTTAGCTATGAGCTAGCTCGCTAATGTTATTATTGCGAAATGGTCTGTGAGGCAGAGTCACCGTTTTTCAGCTCGAACTGTCAGCGCACGAATTTATACTAAATTGCATTTCAATATATTGAACTCGGGATTCAGGTAATACCAAATGTCTGACATTGTGTTTTTTTCTTCGTAGGGCGCAAACACAAACAAGGCAAACCAACGTGATGCAGCTCTTGGCAGCGACAGAGTATGTCACCAACTGGGTGTAGTAAATGAAATTAAGGATTCGTGCATGGTTTTTCCATGCAAAAAAACAAACACGTGACTGAGGTATTATTATGATGCAGGATGAATTGCCGCGAAGGTGATGATGGAGACATCTGCGGATGGGCCAGTTCAGTAAGTTTAACAGTTGGTTTCTAAACTTGTATATGTGATGTGCAACATCACATCTTGTAGTGAAGATAAGTCGCCACTAAAGTCATTCGGGCAGGGAGCATTTCCCCTTCTCAGTTTTTCTATTTTTGTCCCTGGAGCTGACCCAGACGCTATCTTGGCTAGAATTACACGGCATGGGTCAAGTGTTGCAATTCGAATTGTGTCATGGCAGCGAAAATGTCTAGTCCACCATTGGAATATAAGGCATACAGCGTGTCATGGCAGAATAAATGGTTTAAACACAGCTGTATTTGATACAGTTGAGTAGGTAAATGTCACGTGAAAGGTACATAGAAATACACTCTATAAAAACAGTGACTAAAGGCATTAATTCATAATTGCACATTGGGACTAGCAGTGCAAGTCTAGATTTAGAAATTTTATGAGCCAAGAAACAAGTGTTTTACTTTGAGTTTTGGCCACGTAATTGGAGTAACAGACAAACAGGTCAGACTGCATTTTTTTTTTGTAAATTACCGAGCAGTGATTTTGAAGAAAGAAAGTTGTCTGTTCTGCAGTATACGGTACCTTAGATTGGTTGAATTCCAAAACCTTTTCCGTTGAGATCAATTATAATTGGATCAGTTACTTTGCACAAGCCGAACTGTCGCCCTTCTTGTTCCTTCTTGTCTTAACAGCACATATTGATGGTCTGAAATAGACACAATGAAGAGCCAAGCACTTGTCACAGTGTTGTGTTGTTTGACAAAGATTGTCTACATTAATGCGTGTAGATGCTGGTACACGGCAAAAACGACATCACGGCTGTGACATCCCGAGTGCAACAGTTTGTGGAGGAGAGGATGCAGACCACCATGGTAAGCAGAACGTGGTGGTGTTCTCGTTGGCGTGTTATGAACGTTTTCTCAGTTACAAAGCTATCATTGAAAATAGTCAGCGAATTCATTGAAAGTAAATGCGATAAATATCTTACATAAATTTATAACTCGTAATAGGGTAACTTTTAAGTTAATCATCGCTGTCCACTGAAAAGCATGTATCTCCAAACCATTATATATTAAAGCAAAAAAAAAAAAGCAATCTTCTGTTCTGAACTTCAGTTTTGATGCCATTATCCGCGGGTACGTCTTTTGCTAGCGCACTAATTGAGATTGAGTCAAGGTGACCCTTGGCTGGATGGCTCCTTTGCTTGAACATTTTCAACACTTCTTGATGTCATTATCCATGAGCTTCATGGCTCCTGCCACCTTTTTTTTCCCTCTTACAGTGTTCAATATTTCGCCAGCAAACTGGTTGAAACTCCCCCGCTTCAAGATTCTAAAATGTTTTGATGTCACCATTCACTGGTCTGACTGGCCGCAGTTAAAAATGGAGCGGCACAACCCTCTAAGCCGACGAAACAATACAAACTTCCACACAATTGCTAATATTATTGAAAAAAAAAATTGCTGTGCCCTTTATCACTTAAGAACCAACACCAGACTTTTCTGCATTGTTTGTTTGTCGTTCAGCTCACGGGTGTCCTGATAGGTGCCGCCGTCGCAGTCGCGATGATCGGGATTGTGGTGCTCTTCTTGTACAGGAGGTTCAAGCATGCTCGTGAGTCTCGGGTTGATCTACTGAAGATATTTCAAGTCTCAATGTCAATCATGTCTGCAATTCCAGCACTGTTAAGCTTTGGATTCTCTGTTCAGGTGAACAGCAGCCCGGTGTCCGTCATTATCGCTTCCGAAAACGAGATAAAGTGCTCTTCTACGGTCGGAAAATAATGCGCAAGGTATTCACTTTTTCTGCCCCGCAACACTTCCATTCAGACTTTGATTCGACAGTTACGTTTTTTTTTTTCTTTTTGAAGGTCCAGACGCTGTCCTCACTTCCTCCCCCTCCTTCGTCGTCTACCTCGGTGTCAAAGCAACCGCAGCGCGTGCGCAAGAGAACCAAAGTTCTTAGCATTGCTCGCAAGTATGGGCTTTAGGAGAGGATTTGAAAACCTTTTTTTTTTTTTTTTTTGTGCGGTCCGGTTTGATTAAGTGAAACACGTTCCTCCAAACAGAATCCTTCGTATCCGCAAGGATCCTCCTACTCTTCAGCCTAAAGAACCGCCACCCTCTCTGCTGGAGGCTGACCTGACTGAGTTTGACGTGCAGAGCTCCAATCTTCCCTCTGAGGTTCTCTACATGCTGAAGAATGTCAGGTGGGGTTGAAAACAAAGGACTCTTTCTGGATTGATACAATTGAACCATCCTAGGTGTCATAAAAATTGTGAAATAATAAAACGCTTAGTCAACTTGACAAATGCGATGGTGAACCGCTGCCTCGCAAAGCGTACGTCACCATATTTATCCTTGCTCGCTTATTTTTGACATCTTATCCTGAGCAGCGAGGACAGAGAAGCGTGTCCCACTCTTTATGCGACAGATCTTTTATTTATTTATTTTTTTCCCCCTGAAATTTTTGGCTGTTCTAGAATTTGTCCAACTTCGGGGTCAGTTTTATTCTGCGCTGTTTTTTGCGTAGGGTGTTGGGCCACTTTGACAAGCCGCTCTTCCTCGAGCTGTGTCGACACATGGTATTTGTGGAGCTGCAGGAGGGCGAAGGTCTTTTCAAGCCCGGAGATGACGACGACAGCATTTACGTGGTCCAGGATGGGCGACTTGAGCTCTGCATCTTGGAAAACGTTGGGTTTTGCTCTTTTTTTTAAGTCACGTTGCCGAAAAGGATTGACATTTTTTTCCTCAAACCGAATAGACACGATGCTTGACCGTGTCGTTGATTTTCGTCTTTTCTGCTTTCCAGGATGGTACAGAAGTGGCGGTGAAGGACGTTCTTCCCGGCGACAGCGTCCACAGCTTACTCAGTATTCTGGACATCATCACGGTGAGCGACTTCATTTCACACTGCTTCCTCTTATCTGTCGTTGTCTGCTCGCTCCTCCGAGTCAAAGAGTTCATTGATGTCTTTTCTTCGGGTTTTCTTCATCCCCATCCGTGCAAATTTCCTAATTTAATTTCCTTCTCGAAATGTCTTTTCTTATTTGTCGAAATTGGGACATTAAACGAGTTACAATGGATGTGCATGAAGAATTAGATTTCCATTAATTGTCCAATCGGGTATGTTGTGAAGCAATGGAGTCCGAATGCGGTTTTTATCTTTCTCCCTAAGTAGGCTGCCGTGGAAACTTTGGAAATGTTAATTATAGAAGCATCCCAACAGTTTGAAAAAAATGAGCTTTCTCAAATAGGTAATTTTCAAGATGATCGAAATCCCAGATTTCCATTTGTTACTTTTGCTGCATTCTTATATTTGGAGCTCAGTACTTATTGACCAACTGGGGAAATATTTGTCATGATTCTGTTTTCTTTAGATCACATTTTGGGTTTTTTTTGGGCGGTTCATGTTATGTCGTGTTTTCATGCGTGCCTTTTGACTTCCTTGTTCGGATTTGGAATCGTTTCCACACGTTCTTGTCTTCCTGGTGCCGTGTGTTAACCAATCAGCTTCCTTGTTCTCTTATCATTTTGTTTTTATTTTTCTTTTCCTGTTTTTGGTTTGCCACGTTGTGTCCACTCTTATGTACTCGTATTTTTGATTCCATATCCCTTGTTTACTTTTTAAAATGTTTGCAAAATAAATACATTTTTGTTTTGAGCTCATCCTGCGTTACCTACTGGATTTGAGTCCACCTTTTTTGCGAAGACAACCCGTAAATTGTAGCCTTCCTTAAAAAAAAAAAAAAAAAAAAAAAATCATATTTCACTCTTCTTCGCTTTTTATTCAGGGTTTTCCAGCTCCTTACAAGACCGTATCCGCTCGCGCGGCCACACGCTCCACCATCTTACGTTTACCGGCCTCCGCCTTTGAGTCTGTGTTTAAGAAATACCCCGAGACACTCGTCCGCGTCATTCAGGTAAACGTTGGTGTCAAACGTGTGATTGATTTGAAATCATTTGACTGTGACAACTTTTAAAGTTCATTTCCTGGACGTGATTGTTGTGTGTTTCAGATAATCATGGTGCGGCTCCAAAGAGTCACTTTCTTGGCATTACATAACTACCTGGGCCTGACCACCGAGCTCTTCAATCCGGTAGGTGGGAGGATGTTTAGTGTGCGCGCGTGTGTGTGTGTATTAGCAGCTGCTGGGAAGGAAAGCATCCTTGCACATTTACGGAAAGTGACGTAAACCCACTCACTGTCCTCCACACGCAGGCTAATTTCACGCAACATTAAGCACGGCGTCATAACGCCGTCCTTCGTGTGGGTCAAAACGAATAAACCATGATAACCCCCTTCATAGGAAACTTTACGACCAGAAATATCTTTCATAAGAGAATGCTTGAAAGGCCTTTGTTGGCCAATTGCGAAAGCTTTTTAAAATGTATTGTATTGGATGTGCTAGTAAGTATAAATCACGCCTGAGCCAAAATCGAAAAAATGTGTCCCTCAAGCAGAGGTTAAACGATTACGGTCTAAATGAATAATCTTCCAGATTTATGGCCAAGAGACAGATGTGCGATTTAAAAACCTTCATATAATCAGGAATGAATATCAAATCTGATATAAATGACAGGCCATGTTTGTTTACCTCATGTCCTCATTTTTTTTTGTTTTTTTTTAATTGTTTAGAGCAGTTATCATTACAACCTGATTTTTTTCTCTTTTTTTTTTTTTTAAGCACTAATTTAAATGTGTGTTGCGCACTGTTTTGTTGTTGAATCGACAGGAGAGTCATGCAGTGCCTTTGTCCAACGTGAACAGTGTGGCGAGTGAGGCAATCTCTGGCAAGACGACTCGCCGTTTGCACTTTCAAGATGAGTCGGGTGTGGCAACCGCAGAGAGCCTTGCAGACGCAGGTCTCACACACCGCGTTTAACGTTTTTTTTTTTTCTGGTGTTGAGCATGGTCCGATACTATTTCACTTTATGCGAAGCAGATGGCGTAAAGGACAGTCCTTCGAATAGCCACAGGAAGCAGCGATCCATCTCGATGCCGCCCGACAGCGCAGGTTGATCACTGTCTTAAACTTGGGGTGATAACTCATTCACTCATTAATAGAGGTTGCGCAGATGTGCATACTCATCACCTTTGCTGGGTACGTACACCCCGCAGGTGACATGACGATGGCATGCGAGCGGGCTCGGGTCAACATCGATGAGACTCCGCCCAGTCCTGCCACTCAGAAGGTAAAACATTGATTTTTGTCAGATTACTGTTAAAGAGCAGCTTGCTTTTTACCCTTGTGTCAGTTTTTCCCCTCGACATTCCTTTTCGCACGGCGCAGTCTAGCCTGAAGAAAAGCGTAACCATGCAGCATACGCCCTCTGAGGTGTTTCACTACACGGACAGCGGGGGGCAGTCCGACGCCATCCACCTGAGCAAGAGCGGAACAATCTTCCAGGCTGCGAAAAAAGACCTGCTGGGGATCATCCAGTTGCAGGTGAGAAGCTGAGTCTGCCTGGACATTTACGTCTGCCAGGCTTGAAAATGTGAAGCATGAAAAAAAGATTTCTATAGAGAGAGAGGTGAAAAGTCTTTTCCCTGAAGTCAGTCCAGCTCCTCCTGACCCTGGACAGGAGAAGCGGTACAGAAAATGGCTAAATTACCCCCCGAGGAAGGAGACCAAACTGCTAATCCTTTTTCCAGCGGTGTTGGTTAAATCGGCTGTACGCATATGTGACTTTCTGCTATGTGCTGTTTCCAGTTGGGGTGTCAAACTCATTATTGTCGCGGGCCACATTGTAGTTACGGTTTCCCTCGTAGGGCCGTTATGAATTTTGGGAAACCATATAAATGCTTAATCCCCTCCACATATTACATACACAGCGCACAACGAATTGATGAATAACTAGTTTTAAAATCAAGAATAATGACTGTTATTGTGGATTACATATGACAATTTGACATTTTGGTTCAGAATTTAGCAAGCATCATGGAAACTTGACATGCTTGATTTGCTTTCGCGGGGCACATAAAATGACGTGGCGGGCCAGATCTGGCCCCCGGGCCTTGACTTTGACACCTGTGGTTTACAGGATCCGAGCCTCCTTGAGGGAAGAGTGACCCTCCACCAAGTCAAAGCTGGTTCGGTGGTGGCTCGTCAAGGCGATCAGGTGACTTTTATTGTTTTTGTTTTGTTTTGTTTTTTTGACAGTGATGTGTGTTATGGTCTTAACTTCAGAGGGGATTCTAATCTATTGTTTACATGTCACTTTTCTGCCTTTTCCTTCCTTTCTTTTTTTTTCTTTTTTTTTTTAGGAAGTGAGCATTCAGTTTGTTATTTCAGGCCTACTCCATGTTTACCAGAGAATGATCGACCGCGAGGAAGACACGCGTCTTTTTGTGACGCACCCCGGAGAGCTTGTCGGTCAACTTGCCGTCCTGACCGGAGAGCCCCTCATATTTACAGTCCGAGCCCAACGGGACTGCAGCTTCCTCTCCATTTCCAAATCCCATTTCTATGAGTTAGTCCCTGTGGATTTTGCGTATGCATGTGTACATGGACACATCTATATAATTTCTCCCCTGCCCCCCTCAGGATAATGCGCGCAGAGCCAAAAGTCGTGCTGAACGTCGCCCACACAGTGGTGAGGAGGATGTCATCTTTTGTCAGGCAGATTGACTTTGCGCTCGATTGGATGGCCGTGGAAGCTGGCAGGGCCGTCTACAGGTACTATCAGCCAAGTTCCGCTTCATACGTTTCTCGCCGCCCCTTTCCAAAAAGATAAACGCTGATCTCGGCTCTCTCTCGAAGCTTCTGTTGAATTGCTGTTAATGCAAGTGTATCATCCAGGCAAGGAGAGAAATCCGACAGCACTTTCATTGTGCTCAGTGGACGACTGCGCTCCGTAATCATGAAAGAGGACGGCAAGAAAGAATTAATAGGAGAGTATGGCCGCGGTGACCTGATTGGAGTGGTAAGGACCAAGATGGAGTTTAAAAACGAACATTTTTCAACAGTCACAGATGATTTTCTCCACATGAACATTCGTCGGTGATGATCAGGAAGAGTCTTATCATCGTGTTCTTTTTCCAGTAATGGCAGCCGCACCTTAGCTGCATGGTCAACAAGCAGGCGTGACACAAATTAAAATGAGAATATCACTCATTAGAATGCAGACTTCTGCCAAGGCTGAGCTGCCCTAAATAAAAATGTCTTGAATAGTTGCGGCTTCCGAGGACTTACCAAACCACTCCGGCAAAGTAAAATGGAAATTGATGTGTACTTTTTGCTTAATCCTCCCAATAAAAAAAAACTAATTTCACTTGGCGGAGGTGATAATGAACATCCCTTTAAAAAAAAAAAAAACTAATTTCACTTGGCGGAGGTAATAATGAAAATGTTGTCATTCCGATCCATACGTTGCTAGTAACTGAAGAAATGTGTTAATCTCCCATCGCAACATAAACAAATGAGGGGAAAAAAGTTGGCGAAGCAAAACCAAAACAAGCTGCTTGTATAATTACCCATACATGCTTTAGTTTTATAACTTGGCATGTGGGTGTAGATTTCACACTGTTATATATATAATGGTTCATGTCCGGAAATCTGTCGGAATTCATTAACAATGTCATATACATATTTGTTTTTTTTTCTTTCTTCCGTGATCGTTCTAATAATACCTGAATTAAAGGATGCTATGGTTACGGTTACCAGGAGGCAGGAGAACTGTCATCTTGTAGGAGTTTATATTTCACACCGCTGTGTTAATTTCCAAACATTAATTCTGAATACTATTTGGGGTGATGCATGAAAAAAAAAAAAAAAAGAAATGTTTTTGTCTTTTGCTTGGGATTCAGTTTTGCCATTCTTTGCACAGGTGGAGGCCCTAACCCATCAAAACAGAGCCACCACTGTCCATGCAGTCCGGGACTCCGAGCTCGCCAAACTGCCCGAGGGCGCTCTCAGCTCCATCAAGAGGAAGTTCCCGCAGGTCGCCTTCATGCCTTTGAACTTGAAACCGTACAACTTCTCCAGAAGTTCAAATTCAATCGACTAATATAGTATATATGATACAATATTTGATCTGGGGTTCCTTTTTTTTTTTTTTCTGGTCGCTGTCTCGTTGGTTGATTGGGAATAATTTGCCATTGACAATTTAGTTTCCTTTAAAAGAACCTAACAAAACAATGTTGATAAAAGTGTCAATTCTATTGATTTATTTTGTTTTATTTTTAGTGTCATGTGACTGATCAGCGACCAGGCGTACCCCATCTGTCAAAGTCAGCTGGCATCGGCTTTAGCTCTCGCGATGACAATCACTGCAGAAAATTATTGGATTGACGTTTTTGGAATGCAGGCTACTTCTTTTTTTTCGTGGAGGTTTATGAAAATAAATTGATGTATTATCACCCCTCATATCCTCACCAGTATTTAAGAGGTTCTTTTTTGACCCCGTCACCACCTCTCCATAAAGTATTTTCTGTATCTTTGGTAATGCCACCAACCAATTATATACATTTTTTTTCTCCTTTTTTACTGTTTTTCAATGCTAATATTGCCTGAACTTTCAAAGGCCATTAAAACAACGACACGACTGGTGGCATTTGCGTAGCTTGCGTGAGGGTCAGCGGCTTGAGCCCAGATTTTCCTCAAAGCTGGGAAGCAGATGTGCCTACCACTATAGGACACCTTCATGCCCTGACAACTAAATGCATTTAAAAAAATGTTTGCTTTGAAGATCAACACTCAGAATCTTAAAGTCTGTGGCAATCAAGGAATGAATATTGCATTTGCGTCTTCGATCAGAGACTTGTTTCTGAAATGCTTTGCCATTGCAGGTTGTCACCAGGCTCATCCACTTGCTTGGACAGAAGATACTCCAGCAGGTTAATCTTCCTCTAACTGGTGTGTGCACTTTATATAGTGTTTACTCCTGATGAAAAATAAATAAATACAATTCCATAATCAGTAACGCTGACTGTGTGTGTGCATCGTCAGGTCGCAGTTTGGCACTGCACACCCCTGGCAGTAAATGGGACGCGGGCAACCAGGCCTCCAACCTTTCCACGGTGGCAGTCCTGCCCGTCTCTGAGGAGGTGCCGCTCACCGCCTTCACGCTGGAGCTGCAGCATGCGCTCCTCGCGATAGGTACAAACAAGAATGATGGAAAGGGGTTGTCTTTTTTTCTTTCTTTCTTTTTTTGGCCTCCCTGATTGATTGGTGACAGTGTTGTTCTCCAGCGGTAACATTAAATGTGACTCCTCTGTCACATTCAGGTCCCACTCTTTTATTGACCAGTGATATCATTAAGCAGCGCCTTGGAGCTGCAGCACTAGACAGGTATTATTTTTTTTTTTAATGCTGGTCTTAACGTTATTTAAATGATCTAAGATGTAGCGAGACAAACATCCGAGTTATTTTACTTCCTGTCCTGTTTCTTTCCCGTCAGTGTTCATGAATATCGTCTGTCCAGCTGGTTGGGCCAACAGGAAGACATCCATCGAATCGTTCTCTATCAAACCGACTACACGCTGACCCCGTGGACCCAGCGGTGCATTCGTCAGGCCGACTGCATCATCATTGTGGGCCTGGGCGAGCAGGATCCTGCTGTCGGAGAGGTGAGGTGTGAAGGATGAATCAGGCTGAGGAAATCTTGCCTTGTACAGCCATTTTTAGCAGTGTCATGCAGATAGAAGACCCCCCTCCTCCAATTCTCATTTGTGATGCAATTAAGTACCTGGCACTCTTTGTTGATATCATTCAGAGTGCTGGGCAGCGAGGTGTTTCGTCATCTTGGATGTGTTCCATCCTCTGGACTAAAGAACTCTATACCACACCTTGCAGATAGACCCATTTTCATTAAAAAAATCCAAAGTTTATATCTTGCATCTGTAGCGGCCACAGAAAAAAGATCCTTTTTGTTTTTAAACCAAGCAAATGATATCCACTCCTATATGATAGCGTTTTAATCGCTTATCTCTTGCGTCCTAATTATCCCCAAAATGTTTAGCTACCGTAACAGCGCACTGTCTGCCACAGGTTTTTGTGTTTGACCCCTGGGGCATACAAGACTGCAGCGGGCGGATGCTATGAAAGTGTAGAGGCAGGAAGTGCACGTCCAGCAGATGGAGAAGTAATTGCTTTTCTCAGGGGAGGGAAATGGCCAAACAGAAATAAAGGAATGTGTCCTTGTTTAACAAGAGACGATGGGAGAAACGGAAAGACGGATCAATATTTGCTGGGGCACAGAATGAGTCATAGCTGAGGATTTGATCTTTCAGGAACACACACACACACACACACATGAGTTTGCCCTGAAAACTCTTTAAATTCCTGCAAACACCTGCGCAATTACTGGATTTCCCTCACTTGAATCGCCTTCGGTCTTTACCCGCACGCGGTCACTTCTCATAATTCCACACATGTGAGCACTGCGGCGGCTGTAAAATGGCGTCCCTCCTAGCTGGAGCGCATGCTGGAAGGAAGTGCCGTGCGCGCCCAGAAGCAGCTGGTGCTGCTGCACAAAGAAGACGGCCCCCCTCCCAAGGGCACAGTGGACTGGCTTAACATGCGCAGCTGGATCTCCAGACACCTCCATCTATCATGTCCGCGACGGGTCTTCTCCAAAAGGAGCCTGCCCAAACTGGTGGGATTAGATGCACTATATACAGTTGTTCTAGCCCACATCCACACCTTTCATATTGACTCATTTTTTTTTCTTCTTTTTTTAAAGATGGAGCTGTATCAGCGTGTTTTTGAGAAGCCAGCAGACCGCCACTCAGATTTTTCCCGATTGGCCCGGGTCCTCACTGGGAATGCCATTGCCCTCGTCCTGGGTGGAGGCGGGGCCAGGTGAAGCGCATCCTCGGGGCCGAGAAAAGTTGATACGAATATTTACTGCAATTATGACTTGTATCGCTGCGTTAGGGCGGCTGTTCGACCATACACACTTGGATACGCCCTGAACTGAAGACCCCCCCCCATAATTTGTATTTAGAATTATTCTAAATGGTGGACCACCAAATGTATCACGTGACACGTCAGGATATTGCACGAGACCTCTGCGTACCAAAGAAGACCTCAGTTCAGCAAGTTTTAAAGGATTAAGGTTGAAGTGCCACTAAGTGACCCGTCAGTCCTTCCGTTGAAATTAAAATGAATTTCAATCCTTTGTACTTGTGGTATGTGCAATGACAAAATCCAAACATTGCCTGTACATTGTTTCAACCTTATAAGTGACTATAAAAATGTATAGTCGATGTAGGATGTTAACTTTTAGGTCTGACGTGGCTTTTTAAGACGTTTCCTTTTTTTTTTTTATTGCAGCTGCTGGCAGGAATTAAAAAAAAAAAAATCATCTTTATCACTTTGTCTTGTTCCTCTGCCCTGTTTTGTAGAGGTTGCTCCCAGGTGGGAATCTTGCGAGCGCTCTGCGAAGCTGGCATCCCAGTCGACCTCGTGGGCGGCACTTCAATTGGTTCCCTGTTGGGGGCGCTCTACGCCGAGGACCGCAGCCACAGCCGGATGAGGATGAGGGCACGAGAATGGGCAATGGTAACGATGAATGTGGGCGGGGCCTCTTCATTTTGTGACGTTACACGGATGTGATCTTTGCCTGCCTGGCTGTCTCTGATTGGTCAGCTGGAATCAAACGTTACGAGTAATTACATTTTACTGATGAAGCCGATTAATGTGACATAAGTTACTCTGAGTAGCTAAAATAGATTGCCCAAGCAATCATAATTATTGTGGATTAAAAAAAAAAAATACAAATAGCAGGCGGAATATAGCCCAGAGTCCTACTTGTTAATTTACTACTTTCCTATTTAGATTGGGCACCTTAAGGTGTTTCACAGACAGTCCAAATGATGCAAATAGGTACGTTTTTCCACAAATAGCTGGGGGCTGGTTGCACATTAAAAGATGCAAATGAAAGTCCAATTGTGGACATTGTTGTAGTCATAATTAATCAACTCAAATAACATTCATATTTACCCTTGAATTTGGAACCCCGGCATGTCTTCAAGCCAGGAGGGAGCCGTATTTGAAGTCACGCCACCGGAGAGCATCGCAAATCATATTCCAGATATCATTAAAAGGCCCATTTCCGTCCTCGCTGGAATGAATTGGCTTGTGGTGAAACTTTGATGATGATCACATCGTCCTCGGGAATTTGCTTCGTGCGGGTTGACTTGCAGAGCTTGGGGATTTCTCCCTTGATGTCATATTTGAAGACATCCCCACGAAGATTAATGCAGCAAACAAATTGTTTATGTGGGTTGAATGAGCACATTAACATTCAGTTGCTCCCCTTTTAAGGATTTCAAGTGGTTTTATTTTTCTTTTGTGACTTTGTAAAGGCTGTAGACAGTAGCGCTTTGTGAAGGTGACTCAAACAGGAAATCATTTCATCTTGTGATGCAACATTCCTATTTCGGAAAACTAGAGTCCGTTTTTTTTTTTTTTTGCAATATGCCGTCCACCGGTTTGAAAGCTGAGAGACGTGGGCCAGTCGTCTGTCCTCTCCCTCCATGGCTCTGTCCTTGGTGCTGATCCGTGAATACGCAAGCGTGATCTCTCACTTGGCGAGAATCTCTTATCCTCAGCCGGTGGGGATGAGCAAAAATAAACCTGGGCCAGATGTTCCAAAATACCTTTTATGCAGAATGAATGTTACATTATGCATGTCAGGAAAGTATACGACAAGCCCAACAGTAAGCTGTTGTCTGCATCTGACAGAAGAAATAAATGCGGAAAAAAAAAAAAGATGCCATTAACCATCTGGCAGATTCTACTTTACCTGCAGTGAAAGCGTTGCGCTTGATGAAATGCGGTTTGTATGAGGTACGGATGAAATCCAAACAAACGCTCCCCACTCTCTTGCCGCAGGAAATGACTTCAGTGTTCAAGAAGGTTCTCGATTTAACATACCCGGTCACTTCCATGTTTTCTGGCGCCGCCTTCAACTCCAGCATCAGCAACGTCTTCAAGAGCAAGCAAATTGAGGTGAGATGAGGTGTTTGCAATGCCGCTCCAATAGAATAAATAAACAAACACATTGCGGGAAGAAGGATAGACCGGCGCCAGGATGACTCTGTGTATAATTGAAACCTGTTTGTGTTTTGTGCATGCAGGACCTTTGGATACCGTATTTCAATATCACAGCTGACATCAGCGCCTCGGCAATGAGAGTGCACACTGATGGTGGGTGTACGCAATATTTCAGGGGTACTGTCTCCATAAAATGTCCACGTCAACAAGATTTTATTGAAAAACATATTTGCTCACGTGAAAGTTCCTATAAACTCATTTCAGCCATTCAGAAGTGTGAAGAGATTTCAATCTGTACATTTTCTGTTGCAATGGTCCACATTAGGGTTGCGGGTGGAACTGATCTTAGCTGACTGAGCGAGAGGCAGAACATGTAAACTCCACATAACAAGGTCCAGATTCGACTCTGGAACTGAGGCAGACGTGCTAACCACTAACCCGCTGTGCGGCGTATGTGGAAACACAGAAACTGTTCAATGAACGTTTCGAAGAGAGAAACATGATGCCTACAAAACAAAACCAGTTTCACTGTGTGCACACAAACGCCGACTTTGGGCCGAAAGTTCTCCCGAAACGGGTAATCGGTAAATACATCGGGGCTCTTGTCACCATTTATGATTTTTTTTTCTTCTTTCCCCCCCCCCCCCCTTGGCCAACACACGTACTTTTTTTTTGGGCGG